TCACTTTTACTTTCTGTCTTTACTTCTCATTCAAAAGAAGAAACTGAAATACATTTTTTTTTCTTAATTGTAGGCCAAAATCAAAATGGTGTAGTTGTTATTAGGATTACATTAAAGCTAAGATATCAAAACTAACATACAACTACAACCAAGAATCACTGGAGTCAAATGCTTTTGTATGTAGACTCCATTAATCAGCTAGGTAATCTTGTGCAGGATCTTGATATGTGTGTTTCTATCAGATTATGTTCAGGTAATTGTTTATTAAGTTTTTAAAATTAGTACAAAAACATCATCTTAATAAAAAATTTTGCTTTAAAAATTATTGCCTTTATAGTAAAAACCCAAGTTCATTTTATTACTTATGTTATTTGTCTAAGACAATTTTAATTAGAGCATTATAGGTATAAAAATAACTTCTCTTATGTTATTTTTTTTTCCTTGAGTTTTTGCAGGAAAATTGTTTTTTAATCATGCTACATTTTATAATCTCATGGGTTATATAAAAGAAGGTAAAAGGTTTCTCAGTAATTCCTCCAATCATTTTTTAACTATGTGCTAAGGGTAGTATATAATTATAATATTAAAGTTGAACCTGCAACATGAGATAGAAGGGACCTATTAAAGGATGTAAAAAAAATTTCTTGGAAATTGCCCTTATAACACCTCACAATTTTAAATTAAGTATTAAAATATTAAATGAGTAATTAAGTGAAGGATTAATGAAAATCCTAAAGATTAGGCCAAAATACGAAGAAAGGGCAAAACGGTAAATAGCCAACACGCAACCCTAGGAAGACGAAAATTGAGTAGAAGGTCTCAGATGGTAAAAATAACCTTGGAAATGGATTCAGAACGAAAAATTGAGTGGTTAGGCAAGTTTCAGAAAATTCAATGAATAGTGTTTTTACCGGGTCAAAATACCGCGGTACGATTGCACCGTAAAATGTGCTGATTGAGTTTTGAGCTCTAGGTTGTAAATATGAGTTATAAATGGTCCATAGAACTAGGAAATATGATTTCTGATAATATTTGATGGAATTAAGTTAGTTTGGGGAAGCGTGCCAACGGCGCGCGCAACAGCTTAAAAAAATGTTTTCTCCGAACGACCAGAAAACTCCGGATTCATCTGATCAAGTATAATTAAAGGACAATAGTTAATATTAAAAATTAGAGTTTCTAAATAGGTTGTGAATTCACAGACGTTTAGTGAAAGTTCGGACGAGTTTTAGATCGCGTGAGGTGGCGTGGGACCCACCCCACTTAAACTTCACTTAAGCCACATCATCCCTTCACTATTCATCATCATCTCTTTTTTCCTTCTGCCTTGAAACCGCGCAAGACAGCCCCCACCATAGCCATTCCTCCAAAATTTTGTTTTCTCCCTAAACCACTCATTTCTCCACCAAATCCAACAAAAGTTGTGTTGAAATTTGTTGGAAAAGACCTTCTAAACACATTGGTAGCACTCTTAAGCTTTGAAACTGTCTCTTTGGTGAGACCTAGGCCAAAGGCAGTTTCAAATTTGTGAGAAAGATTGATGTTCATGGAGTCATTTGGCCTTCCATTGCTTGCATAAGTCTTGGAGGAGTATCAAGCCTTGGTTGTGAGTAGATTTCTACATCATTTACATGGTTTATTTGTAGATTATAGTTATGAACCCTAAACCTTGAATTGTTGATGTGTGATGTTAGAGAGCTCAATTGGAAAAAGTTTGTACATGGATGTGTCTTAGAATAATGTGTATTAGCTATAAATGCAATGAAAATTTTAGGTGAAAAATATGTTTTTGTAACTTAGAATATTTTGAGGTGTCATGACTTGAATTTCAAAAATGTGTTAGGATTTTAGTGTTGAGTTGTTGGATGATTATATGTTGATATAATGGTATTGTGTGAAGTGTGGAAGGGTTGAAAATTGAATGAAATCTCTTGGAATTACTTAGGCTACAATTCGGCCATTTAGAGAAGTGTAGGGAATTGAGGTTGTTTGCATTGCTTAGATCATGTTTCAAGTGTTAAATGGTATTTATATGGGTTGTGTGATGGTTGGAAAGTGAAAGAATCAATGAAAAATAATTGAGGATGTAAAATGTCATAAAAGATCCTAGAGCGAATTATTAACTAAAACGACGCTTAAAAGACGTAAAATGGGAAAACGGCACTTGGTATGGCCTCTTGGTAACCTAAGGATGTATAATAAAATGAGAAAGAAAATTTAGAAAAATAATTTTTGAAAAATGCCTAAGAAGGCCGAACCTATAAGGTATAGGAGGGAAATTTGACGTTTTTTGCGTTTTGATAGAATTGCCGTGTACTGACGATTCGTACATGGTTATTGTAGGTTGTCGTACGCCGATTTGAACTCCGAACCGTGAGTCGGTGGATTGCCCTTGGTCCAGGACCAAGTGGATTGAGGTAAGTGGTTGGATCAATGCATCTATAATTATAAATTGGCATGTGTTGTATGAGTTTTAAGTAATTGGGAATTTTCTCTGTGTAGGCATTTTGTGGAATAACAAGTTTGGTAAATAAGCTGCTGTGGAGCTAAGTGGAGGAACATATTGAGGTAACCTCTTGGTACTGGGGCTTGTTCCCCTTGTGTGTTCCACCACACCCGTTGAGGGTGATGGTAGGAAATGTATATGAGTAGTGTAGAACAGCATGAGCATGCATGTAGTATTTATGAGGGTACTTATGTACCGAGTCTCTGGCCAGTAGACAGTGTAGCCTTCGGGCATTTTCGGACTTCCACTGGATAGGTCTCCGAGAGGGAGTTCCAGTTGACTTAGGGTCGTGGTGTGTGATCCGGATAGGAGCACACTAGGAAGTCTCGGGTGTATGCGGATGGGAGGGGTACCTTGGTTGGATGTTCTAGGAATACGCCTTGGATGATACCCATAGGCTTATATATGCCGAGGACGTTGTTTGGTATTGGTAGCTACCATTCCAGCTTCGTCGTATTTTATATCCTGATATTCCCCAGTTTCTCTAAATCCCTTGCTTTATCCCGTTTTTTAAGATGTTGTTTTATATTATTTATATGCATCAAAGTGAGCCATTGGTCGGAGTTTTCTCCAGAACCTCTGGGTTACTGAGATATATTCGTATATCTCACCCCGTTTTGGGAACTTTATTTCAGGAGGTAGCAATGGCACCGGAGCGGCACGCAAGAAGCCCGTAGGTTGAGTCATTGGAGGATTAGCACCTTTTTGCATTTTGATGGCCACTTGGCCTAGGCTAGACTTAGGGCATGAACATCATATGTATGTAGGATGAGTTTCATAGTCATATTTGTTCATGTCGTTTTGCCTAAGTCTAGTAGTTTATGTCATTTAAGCTTATGTTTCAATTTGTAAGTTAAAGTTGTAATATTTGTAAGTTGTAATATTTGTATGAGATGTTGTAAGTATACATGGATATTGATGTAATATGATGGAAGGGTTTTAGGCCTATTTTAGGATTATGATTATATGCTTATGTTGAGAAATTGCATGTAAATGGACTTTGGTGATTGAAATAAGTTAAGGAATTATAAAGTGAGCCATATAGTATGTATTGTGTAATAACTATAAACTGAGTTGGGTTGTAAGTGCCCCAAGGCGTTGTTGGTCCTTGTGTGTGCCACCCATTGGTTATTAGGTACATTTGATGTGTTAGAAGCATTTGCAAATTTGGGAGATTTTAGGAAAAACAAAGGAAACTCTGACGAATTTTTTGTAGAATTGGCAGAATTTAGGTGAACTTCGGGAGAGCATATCTCTCTCCACAAAGGTCCGATAGGGAAGTTCCATACGCCATTCTGAAGCTTGAGATGTACCCTACATTTTGTCAAAATCTGTGAATATTCTGGGTTGTACGCAGCCCTGTAGAAGCCTGTAAACACGGACTGTCCAGAACACTCATATGCAGGGGATGTTTCTGGCAGTTTTTGGGAATTTTATTCCCGCTTCGTTTCTCAGTAAAATTAAGCGTTTGATATATAAACTTGAAGGTTGAGGTGTCTAGTTTGTGGTGTAAATATTTGAGAGCAATTGGATGAGTGACTTTTCTGCAGTAATTCATGGAGTGAGGGATGTTCAGAGCTGTTTTGGGGTTGGTTGGCAGTTTTGCTTGTTCAACTTCAAACGGCGATAACCGGAGAAAACGAGCTCCAAATAAAGCGTGCGATAGCTTCCTAGAAAGATAATTAAGTAAGAAAAAAAGGTAGCTAGAAAGGAAGGTCTGGTTTTGTGCGGTGAGTCTGCAGAAAAATAATTACCGAGCCATGTTCGGATAGGTAGAAAACATAAGATTGAGAAATTGGCTAAGTAGGTTTATGGGAACCCCTTAGTGTATAGTATTGAGTAAAATGAGATATAAAATAGTTTAAACAAGTATTCCGCAAGAGTTACAGTTATGGTCACAACTTTTATTTATTACGCTTTTTACGGTTTTAAATGATCGCGTAATAAACGGAAAAAGTTTACTCGCATTTTTATAAATGAATTATTGTGATTGTAACTGCGCTTAATATGATAATTAATTTTAACAATACCGGTGTACAACGGGCTGTTACAACCCTCAATTTTTTTCTATTTTAAAAACTCTTGGAAACTGCCCATTGGGCGTTTGGTAGAGGAGAAATTTTTTTTATCCGGGAATCTCGATTTTCAGAAATATGATGAAAACATTCAGTTTACGATAATATCTAAAAATTAAAAATTTAGAAAAATTCAGTTTCCCGGAAATCCTACAAAATACCTTGTACCAAACAATCCCATGAATCTAGATGCAAAAGCAGAGGAATATAAAACAGAGACATGCATGAAGAATTTTCCTTAAAATAAAAAGAAAGGAAAAGCAATAATATTATTATAAAAAAGCAGAAAAGAAAAAACCAGATGAAAGAAACAAGAGTTCTTTTTTCTTCTTAGCCAAAACTGCGAAGAAGGGAACAATGCAAAAAGAGAGAAAGAGGTTCTACATAGGATAACAAATAATCACAAGAATTGATATTTTTCAATACAGAGGAAACGATGGAAAACATGTACGTATAAACTTACCCATATAATAAAACAAGGCCATGCGCCAATGAGCATTTATGCAGAGCACCGTTATGAACCCCAAGAGTATTGTTATATAGGATGCACAAAAACTCCAATAGAATGCTTCCATGTCTATTGTTATTTCCTTTCCTCCCGTGTTGTTGGATTCTGATGATGGTGGAGTTGCAACGCCTTCACACTTCTGCTTTAGTAGTGGTCCACAGAGACCAAGATTACCTCTGTAGTTGTCCTCATCAAAGTCTTCAAACTGTCCTGTACTTGGTGGTGTTCCAGATAGATTATTGTATGACACATTGAAGATTGATAAAAAGTACAACTGTGTTAATTGAGAAGGTATCTCACCACTCAAGTTGTTGTATGACAAGTCAAGGCTCTCTATTTGGGTAAGATTGGAAAAAGTGTTTGGAATAGAACCTGACAAATAATTATGGGATAGATTCAAGGCATGAATTTGTTGCAAGTTTCCAATTTGAGAAGGGATGATCCCAGTTAGCATATTGCATGATAAATCCAATCCAGTCATGTTCTCTAGGATTTTGCCTCCATAAGAGTAGTAGTTTCTCTTTGTTCTAAATTCCACAGTTGATGCTATTACATCATCATATGATGGCATCTCAGTAGTAGGCATATACAGTGACACATTTACATCAAGGAAGGTTCTGGAATATAACAAGTCTGGCTCTACAGGTGTAAACATTGACCATTTGATTTGAAATATAGGGCCATAATTATAGTTTTCTACCATTCCAAAAGACAAATTATTGAAGCAAGATGGTATTGAGCCATTGATCTTGTTGCGTGAGAGATCCATAATGGTGATATCTTTTAATTGACATGATTGGATTGGGATATGGCCATGAAAATTGTTCCCTCCTAATAAAAGCACTCTTAGATTTGACAGCTTATCCATCCAATAAGGAATACTCCCAGAAAAGTTATTATCTCTCAAGTCCAAAGTTATTAGCTCTGATCCTTCAGACAATGTGAAAGGTATAGAACCTGAGAAAGTATTCTTTTGCAAATACAAGTATCTCATGGTTGAAAGATTCATACCTGAGATTGACCCTAATAATCTATTTTGTGAAAGATCTAACATATAAAGGCCTGTCAGGTTGGAAAACTCAAATGGGATCTCACCTTCTAATTGATTTTCTGCCATAAGAAGGATAATGAGTGATGAAAACTTCTCAATTGAAGTGGGAATTTCACCTGTGATTGAATTGTTGGATATGTCTAGTATGGCCAATCCTTCACTGTTTAAATTTTCCAATACTTCTTTGAGAGTGCCATTGAGGTTGTTATTGTTGAGGAACAACTCATACAAATTAGAAAATTTAGGAATGTTCCCTTGGAGAAAGTTATTTGAAAGCTTCAAGCTTTGCAAGTTAGTCCAATTTGTGGCTAGTTGTTCAGGTAACCCACCTGAGAAGAAATTGTCAGACAAATCCAACATTGTAAGTTGTTGCAATTTACCAATTGATGCAGGTATATTTCCTTCAAAGTTGTTCATGGACAGATTCAAAATCCATATCCCGGGAAGAATAGTACCAATATCTTTTGGTAGCAAACCATTGATTTTGTTGTTTGATATATCTAGGAAACTCAGGTTTTGTCTGATGGAGGATAGTTGAAAGTTCCCCACAAATGAGTTACTCATCAAATAGAAAAATTGAAGTCTTGTGTTATTTTGTATCAACCAACTTGGGAATGCTCCAACTAATTTGTTGTGGGAGAGATCCATATATTGCAAGTCTTTCTGATGTAGAAGAAAACTGGGAATGATGCTTCCTTTATCCCTGTTCAAGTTGCAGTTTTGAAGGATGAGGGATTTTAATTGAAATGTTGGAACCCATTGTGTGTTTTCGGTTTCAACTTGTGCACTTGGGCTTAGAGAATTAATATATAGAACCTTAAAGTTGGAATGGTTAGCCAAAGTGCTCAATAAAAATGGTCCTTGTAGGTAATTGTCAAGGAGAGACAAGTACACAAGAGATGTGAAATTGCTAGTGAATGATGGAAAATTGCCACTGAACAAATTTTGAGAGAGATCAAGGACTTGGAGGTTCCTTAATATGCTGAGACACCTTGGAATTGGACCGCTAAACTCGTTGTTGCTAAGACCCAGATCTACAAGATCCTTCATTTTGCAAAGTCCTGTCATAATAATATATATTGGTCACATTTTGCATTGTAAATCCTTATTTGAAAAGAGTCCTTCTTGAGATATATAGTCTCACATTGGTTGTATGAGCAACTAATGTGGAGTTTATAAGGTCTTGGATACTCTCACCCTTTGAGCTAGCTTTTGGGGTGGTGTATCCCAAGGTTCTTAACATGGTATCAGACCTTGAGTGACAGTGACTACAAGGTCACAAGTTCGATCCTCACTGCCTCCCACTTTCAAGTGGAATTAAAATAAAAGCACAAAAAGGTAAATAAAAAATTGGACCTGTGCAATTTCACGCTTCTCGCCCAAAGGGCTCTTGCGTGAGGGGGCGTGTTGAGATATATAGTCCCACATTGATTGTGTGGGCAACTAATGTGCCCTTTATAAGGCATTGGGTACTCCCATCCTTTGAGTTAGCTTTTGGGGTGGTGACCTCAAGGTTCTTAACAGTCCTTGAGTATGAAAAGTTGTTTAGAAATAATATCATGCCACTAAATGTTAAGGAATAAATATTAACAATAAGAGTAATTCCCTTTTGGGTCTCTAACAAAAAATATGGTCTCACTTTAGTCCCCTAATAAATTTAAAGTGTATCCATTTTAGTCCGTTTGAAGGACTAATATGGATCTTTTTTGAATTTGTGAGGGATTACGATTTCAACTAAATGGATTCACTTTGAATTTCTCAAGGACCTCAATATTAATTTTTTTTGTAAGGGACTAAAGTGGATACCGTATTTTTTTTGTTAGGGACCCAAAAAGGTATTTACTCTAATAATAATTCCAGGTATCATTGTGAACATATATTTTTTGAGTTTAGGATTTATAATTAAAACATTGAATGTTGTTTTTAAAAGATTATTAAGTTATTAGCTTATTTTACAATTCTTATAAAAAAATTAAAAAATTAAAAGCATGAGTTCAACTGTAAGATTTTTAAAAATATTTAACAAAATATTTAAAATAAGTCTCTTATTAACATGCTGCAATTATATTTTTCCCTAAATAATATTTCCAAGCAAATAATATATGTGTGTATTAAATTACTTTTAAGATACCTTCTACGAAGAAAATTTTAAAATAAGTTCATTATTTAGATATCTTAATTCTATTTCTCCCTAAATAATATTTCAAGAAGCATTTAAGCATGCGAAAATCAAACCAACGATATACAAGGTGTATGAAATTAGTTTGATATTACCTTCAATTGAGTCGTTCATATTGTTGTGAGTTAAGTGTAACACTTTCAACCTTTTCAATTTCAGGAGACCTGTAAGTTGAGACGAGAGAGTACACACATTAAATTATATATGAAGAAATCCAATTTTATTTTTTTTAATAGAGGTAACCAATTATGTTTGGAAGCGTATATTTTTTTTTTTTGGAAATATTTCATCGGTTCATCGCTTCGCGATTAGTCCGATTCGGGACAGGTCCAAGATTAAGGCTTTAAACCCTCCCAAAGGTGGAAGCATATATTTCAGTTCAAATAAGTGAGAGCAACAATAATGATAAGTACCTGCAGCATCTAAGGATCCCTTGAGACTATTATAGCTTAGGTCCAGTACTTCCAGGCGACTAAAATTGAAAAAATCTGTGTCAAAGAAACAGAAAAAAAAAAATGTTTTAATTAATAATTTATATTAGTGACGAATTATTTGTGATAGATATATATTTGTCACTATTAATGAAATTATAGTGACAATTTATAATTTTGTCACAATTAAAAATAATAATTGTGACAAAATAAAATTTAGACACAAATAATATATCATTAGTGACAAATTATATATTTGACACTAAATATTATCATAAAATAATCATATTTCTTGTAGTGACTGTTCGATTATTAAAGTTAATTCGTTTTGTTTGAGAATTTGGAGAGGAAGGAAATGAAGGGGATTCAAAGAGAGAGATGAGAAGGAAGGGAAAGAAATTGAAGGGTATTCTCTTCCTTTATTTGCGACTTGAAAAAATGATAAGGAAAAAAAAATGAAGGTTAATGAGATATTTTTATCATTTTACCATTTAAAAAAATTAATATAACTATTATATTTTACAAAAAATATTAAATTTAAAATTTCTAAAAAAAGTATTTATGTACTTTTCAAACAATTAAAAAGATCATATTTTCAACGATATCTACGTTGCGAATGATGAAAACTCCGTTGAAAAATATGTTTTCGACAAAAAAAATTCGTCGAAAGGCGATGAAATTTTTTATCAGTTGAAATTTTAACTAAAATAAATTTGCATCAAAGTTTTCGACAGAAAATAATTCCGTCCAAATTTTTGACGAATTTAATTTTCGTCCAAAATTTTGACAAAAATGATTTCTTTAATATTTTCTACGAAAAAAAAGAATTCCGTCAAAATTTCTAATGGAAATGTTTATCCATCAAAATTCTTTGATGGTTCAAAATTTTCAATGGAAATGTGTCCCGTCGAAATTTTCGATGAAAATATTTTTTTGTTAAAAATTTTGACGGAAATATTTCTGTCGAAACTTTAGACATAATTTAGATTACGTCAAGAATTTTGAAAGAATTTTTTTTTGTCAAAATGTTTTCAATTATTTTTATGAAAACTTTTTCCGTCTAAAGTTTCATCGAAATTTAGATTCTATAAAAAAAATTGACGAAATTTTTTTCGTTGATATTTTGGATGGAATGTTTTCCGTTGAAAATTTTTGATAGGAATGTGTTCCGTCGAAAGTTTTGACGAAAATGTTTTCTTCGAAATTTTCGACGAAATTTAGATTCTTTAAAGAATTTTAACGGAATATTTTTTCGTCAAAATTTTTGACAAAATTGTTTTTCGTCAAAATTTTCGACTGAAATTTTGCTGTAAAATTTTTTTGATAGAAATAGTTGCGTCGATAATTTTGATGAAAATATTTTTCGTCGAAAATGTTGACGGAATTGGATTCAGTCAAGAGTTTTATTTCATTAAAAAATTTCTGTGTGTGATTATGACCAAATCTTATTCCATCTCTAATTTTGTCTTTATTTTCGAGTGAAATGTTTTTCTCTATTTTCGACTAAATATGATTTTTGTAAAACTATTTGTGTCTCATGTGTAACGTGTGTCAATCGGTTTAATTAAATAATAAAAGAGGCTTTATGGTAATTGACGTTTCGCATTAATGGTAATTGACGTTTTGACGTTTTGCATTATGGTAACGTTTTACATTAATGGTAATTGACGTTTTGACGTTTCGCATTAATGGGAAGTTACAGGGAGTTATTTGAAACTCCGTAACTGGTGACATGGTTCAGTTATATAAAGAGAAAAATGGTGAGTCTCTGTGATTTTATCTCTCAGAATTCTCTCCTTCATGGTCTGCCCATAAAAGTTGTATCAGATCCCTGTCATAGACGATACAAGGAAAGCAGAGGGTAAAGACTCTGAGAAACAATCTTCCATCATCAAAGTTCTTCCGCACTAATGGAGAAAGGTACGCTCTTATGTGAAAATCATGAATTCTAAAGATCCTGTATCATGTTCTTGAATGATCATTGTTGAACATGTATTAATGAATTACTGATGAATAGCTTACATGTGGTATCAGAGCCAGTGTTTAAGAATTTGTGCTTTTCCATAAATAATTATGAATGAATTTCTGATTCATGAAAAGTTAGGGTTTTTGAAAAATAAAATTCACGATCATCATTTGAATTTTGCGTTCATATTACGGTTTGCATATTGATTTGAAATGCATATGTCAAATACTGCATTTTATGATGTCGCGAGTTCTGAAGAAAACAATTTCGAATTGATTTTGTATTTCACAAAAGGACGAAAACGAAAACATGAAGTCCCTTTACGTTAATATGAATTTGATGGTTTTCGTGTCATTTGCCATTCTCGGAAACGTATGCATTTGGGCGTTGAATGGAATTTCATTTGAAAATTGGTTGAATTAAAGCATTTGCCATTCTCGGTTTTCGAGTTTTGAAGCAAAATTTTGATTTGGTTTTGCAATACAATTACGTCGGTTTTCAATTCAATTCAATGTGAATATTTTTAATGCCATTCAATTCAATTCGATTCGATTCTGTGTCGTTTTCCGTTCCAATTCAATGCCATTCAATTTTTAATGCCATTCGATTTAATGGATAAAGGTACTGTATGTAAATATATATTCTGATATTGAATGTAAAAATTGAATGATTATGTAATATTCACAGTTTTAAATTGAATGATTTTGTGATGTGGTTGGATTAAAATTAAATGTGAAAATTTAATCCTATTATTGTTTATGAAATATCAAAGTTTTGAAATTAATTATGGTAGATTTGTTAGTCACCAAAGTGGCCAAATCTTGAAGAGTTATTTTAATTTCAAATATCATGAATTTTATTTCAATTACCATGACTGTGATGCTATGAAGAGTATGAAATAATTTTCTGGTTGTGGTATATTGAAGTTCATTATTATAGGACAGTTAGGGATCAACCCAAAGGTTGATTATTTGTTTTATAAAATGAACATGGATGTTGGTATTGTTGGCATATTTTCTCACATTTGGACATCCAAAGATGGCAAATATTTATGATAGGGGTATGCATCATTGCCAAATTATGTGAAATTTATATAGCATCATTATAGTTAATGTTGTATGTTAATGGATCCCCAAAGGTGAACATTATGCATTGAAGTTAGTATATTTGAATCTGTGAATTATGTTAGTATGTGACATGTATGACTCAAAGCATTAATGTTTTTAAATGTTATTCCTCGCAGTACCAGTTGCTACACATTCCATGTTCTCAACTGTTGTAGTTTTTAATGGGCTGAACTTCTCTGAATGGAAAGAGCAAATCAATTTTTACCTTGGGGTAATGGATATGGATTTGGCTCTTAGAGAAGAGGAACCTGGTGCTATTACTCCTGAAAGCACTGAGGATGAAAGGGACCATTTTAAGAACTGGGAAAGATCCAACAGATTAAGTCTGATGTACATGAAAATGAGCATAGCAAGCAACATTAAGT